GGGTGAACGGATCCCGATGATATTTGGTATAGATGTACAGGACAGTCTGGAAGAACACGTAGGCTACTCAATTTTGATTTCTTTTATTCCACGCGGTCGGAGTCGCGGGCGAAAGCTAATCTCAAATAAACATCAATCTGAAGTTAATTTAATTAGTTATTGTAATAAATATAAAATCTTAATTAGATGAAAACATTATTCATTAAATCCCAGTATCCTAATTGTTTTTACGTAACGCCTTAATTGCGTGGTCTGATGACGACATTGCCAAGCGTGTTCCGACCTCATTAAAAGGATCGTTTGGTTTCAATCAAAAATAAAATTAAGTTAAGATTTATGTAACATATTTTAAACGTGCTTGTTAATTAACTGCTTACCGTGACTGCTGGTTAATTATTATATTTACAAACTAGTTTCTTACTAAGGTTTCGCTCGTATAAACCTTTTTAGTTGTGAAATAGAAATCGATTTGTCAGTTTCATTTTGAAATGTATTTTTACTCTATCCTGATTTTCTTTTAAAAACTTCAACTAACCATTTCAATTTAGGCAATTTCTCTTTCTTTCATAAGTATTAGTAGATATTGTTAAATTACTAATATTTCCTTTAACCATTAAAACTTAGTTATTGGCTTTTGCTAGAATATGGTTCACGACAATAGTCGAATGGCGGGATTCGAACCCTCGACCGCAAGATCGGTAGTCCGTACCCCAAACTATTAAGCGGTAAATTCCAGTATTAAAAAACTTATTTAACATAAAATTATTTCAGTGAATAAACTTTATTATATAAAAAGGAAAAGAAACAAACTACTTCTGCCACTGATTACTACCGGTCCATTAAACAGAGTAAAACGACTCTTTGGTAACGGACAGGGGCTATCGGCTCCCTTGATAACATTAGTTAACTCCGGTGGCTGATCTCACAGAGATTTTATCGCAAATAAATCCATTACTTGGAACAGCCGCACTGATTGTAATTATCTTTTCCCCCTTCTTATTGCGCTCTTGCGGTTTAAAATAAACTCAACATACATTTATTTCCACGTATAGAAAAGAATTTAAAAGTCTTGTGTGATTTATGAAATATAATGTTTTATGAAATAAATGCTTAATTTCGTAGCAGAATCGTAGCAAATGGCTACGTCCATAAAATGTTAGATACGTTTGGGTATTATAGTATACTAGCTGTGGCTCGTAACGTTCCCCGCGTGGACGTGAAATAATGTAACCTATGTTACTCACAGATAAATTACCTTTCTAATGGTAAATGAATTTTTGAAATCGGCCCAGTAGTTTTTAAGTGGACTGAATACACAAAAATCCAAAAATACAAATCTTCTCTTCATATTAGTATAGATAGCATAGTTTAAACTAAATTATTCGGTGGGAATAAATTTAAAATTAATAAATGACGCCTAAAAGCATTTTGCTGTTAAATATCTATTGTAAATACCAATTTAACCTTTTGAATATAGAAATTCACACAAAATGTTTGGGCACAAGGAGCGTCGAGTCCTTTCAAATGGAAATAGTTTAAGAGCCTATCAAGAATAGCGGTCACAGGAAGGTTCTTTGTCCTTAATTAAAATCACCGATCCCTTTTACGAACAAAACAAATAAATCAACTTATACTAACATAGTTTCTAATTACTATAAATATTTGACTCTCAATTCATTCAAATTTAACATAAAACTTTTTCAATTTAATGTTTTTTTTTTAATAAATTGTAGTTACAATAAACCAATATTGAGGTATTAAGAAATCATTTTTAATCCATTAATTATTAAATATAAGGTTGGTATAACATAAGATAAAATAATAAAAAAAACATTTCATTTAAAGATGAGGAAATAACAATAGAAATGTTTTGATAAAGAAGAACTTGTTGAATGAATTCACATTTTCCTTAAGAAACGTATTTTTGATTTGAATTGATTTCGTTTCTTTACAAATGCGATTCAATCAATTTCGCTGCCAATTAAGATAATTAGATATCGTGCGACTTTATAAGAACTACTTATTAGTGAGTTAAAAGTATTTTATCTTATATTTTAAAGAAAATCTTTCAAGTATTCATTGTCCGGGAACTCATAACAATAATACGATTATTTCGAAATCGTAACATTGTATTCGAAAATGGATATGTTATTGTCGAGAGGGCGCTGGTGAGCTGTCATAATCTAGTTTGAATCAGTCAACGTACAGCGGGTCAACTTTCCTAGTAAGTGTATCCACGGACAAATTGTCATTTCCAAAACTGAGATAAAAGTCATTATATTGAAGTTACGGGCTAAAATATCTTTAAGTTTAAATTAGATATTAAATCATATATCTTATAAATATTATAAATGCGAAAGTTACCATGGATGGACGGATGTTTGTTAGCGTTTGTAGCCTAAACGGCTAAAAGGATCTCTATGAAATTTGGTACAGGTTTAGAGCATAGTCTGGAAGAACACATAAGCTATTTTTTATCCCGGGAATAGTTACGGTTCCCGTGGGATTCATTAATTTAGTTTTTTAATGTTCACTCGATCATTCTGCAAAGGTCGAGCATATCTTATTGAAATTTGGCACTGATAAACAAAAAGTCTAGAGTACACATGGGATAAGGTTCGTCCCCGAGTAATGTCCAGTTCCCGAGGGATACGTAAGCTTTGTGTTATTTGTATAGTTCGTATGTTTTCTAATACCATGCGGACGAAGTCGCGGGCAACAGCTAGTATTTAACTATTTCGTTCATATTATTTAGATCTGTATCAAATCAATGGCAGTTTAAAACTATGTTCATCAATCAGAAAGACTAACGACTACCTTTTAGCGATATACGACCGGTCGCTCTACAAATTTACGAGTTTTTGCTTTAACAAATTTTCAGGTTGTAAAAACATTGGTCCAACTAAGCATTTATCGTCGACGAATTGGCGATTTGTTTGCACGGCAAAAATTAATTTTACTTTTAGCATAAATTGTTGCAAATTATTATAATTTTTGGTGTTTTAAAATGTTAAGAGACCATTAGCAAAACGTATCTAACTCACAAGGTCCTGTCCCACTACTGGCTGATAGAGGCTGTCAGATAAGGGAACAAAATCCGATACTTACATATCTTACACGTTGGATTGTTATCAGACAATTTACAATTTGGTAGGACAGGCCCTTAATAATGGTTTTCTTTATTTTTTAGACTTATAAAATCTGTCTATAAAACAGTGCCGCGCCCCATCAAAAGAAACTATAGTAATATGCACTAACGTATAGTATGCCAATAAAAACTTTTCTGTTGACCGCACCCTCTGCTATATGCAGAGATTACGATACTCGATTCAAGATGACAAAAGTTTAACCAATAAATGCCTTATCGCTGACTATTTATGCTTGCCGAATAAATTTCATCTCATATCTTTATGTCTTTTGAGGTTATGTTATATTTTTATGTTCCTATGGAATGAGAAATCAATAAAACAATTGCAGTCTTTTTTATTTTATTTGAATAAAGAATTGCTATCGGTTTACTCTCCTACAAACTTTAGTTATACCCAAAACATTTTTTTTAATACAAATACAAATATCTTATTGGTGAATATTATTTTTTACAGGTTAAAATGTTAAAATCGTTTAACAGATATTCTGAATGGAAAATAAGACAATCATTATGGTAGAAAAAAATCCTGCACACTAATACAGCGCTTTCTGAATTAGCCAGGACTAACATAAGTTTGTTTTTAAATGAAGGGAGGCTGGTAGCCGCTCTGACGTGGTTCCGCAGGCGGTTGTAAACAGCAGACCCAACGACGTGTACTAAAGATGTTTCTAAACAAATGAAGCAAGTTCTAAAGATGCCAAACAAAATATGATTTTGTTTCTCTCCATACTACCTATCAACATTTCTGTTTACTTATTCACTTTAAATTAAAAATATAATTAAGTCAACAATAGTATAAGCTACATTTAAAATTATTGTAACATACCTTTAAAATTCTCACAAAAGATTTCCAATAAACGGATCGCAAGTGAAATATCTCCGATGGAAATACGTTTATTGGCAGCTCCTGTCAAAGCTACGTCTCTTTGTAATGGAATTCGATGACGTTCCCTTTGGGCCGAAAGGGTTGTTCGAGAACATTCCGGGTAGGGGATAATTTCGTTGCGGTTCGCGCACTTACTACATAGAGAACAATGGACTGGTAACCACATATCCTTCACTTCAATTTAATTGACAAGGACCAGAGGTTAAAAATCCTTGGTAGCTTCGAAAATTGAATGTAAAATAGACGAACTCGCTATTTTCAGATAATAAATTAACTAAATTTGTATAAAATCATTAGAAAACTGTGTTATTCTCGGATAAGGTTAGATAAATTTAAATTATTGCCACCTCATTTGAATGTGCTATTTTAAAAATCTATTTTTAGCAAGCTATGCTCGCTAAAGTAGCTATATTTAGTGGTCATATGACAACTTTAAGCGTCTATAGCCTAATGGTTTGGGGTTCGGACAACCGATCTCGCAGTCGAGGGTCCGAATCCCTCCTTTCGACTATTGGAGGGAACCATATACTAGCACAAGCCTGGAGCTTACTTGGAGTGTTTAAAGGAAATATTAGTCAATGAACAAAAATCTACTATCCCATTTATTAAAAATTTTGCGAACATAAGGTAAGCTAACAGATTATTTTCTACACATCTTTATGACGTCATATATCAAACATTCGTCGTCCAACATATATTAATACATAGCTTCGGAGATAGTTGATGTAGTTACAAAGTTTAGACAGTTTAGAACACGCAAGCGTCCTTTGTGTCTTCCAAATTGGTAACTAAATTATATGAAGTGTGAATTTCACAGCATTTACTGAACATAATAATCCATTCTACTTATACATAGTGTTCAAAAACTAAAAAGGGCAAACTATGTAACGAAGATTTTAGTGCAATGTATTATAATTCTCTAAAAAAGTGTACGTTGGGTGGAAAAAAAAACAAGATTATTTAATTTACACATTTATTTATTAACAGCATTTAATAATTATAATTCTCAGGCGGGTGGTGCGGCGGGAAGGGCGGGTGTGGGAAGGGCGGGGGTCCGCGCGGGGGGAACTGGGGACGGAACTGCGGTGGCGGCGGCGGGCGCCAGGGAGGCGGGGGGCGCGCGCCGGGCGGTGGCGGGGGGCCGAAGCCGGGGGGGAATGGTGGTGGGAAGTGGTGGAATGGTGGCGGGGGAGGTGGCGGTCCGGGGGGCGGCGGGGGGCCTGGTGGTGGCATGGAGGAGGGAGGCGGTGGTGGGGCGGCGAGGGGCAGCGGGGGTGGAGGGCGTCCTCCCATTGGCGGTCCGGGCGGGGGCATGGGGCTCGGCGCGGGCGGGGGCGGAGGTGCCATTAAGATGGGGCCCATCATGGTCGGCGGTGCATCCGCGAACAGCTGGTGAGGACGGTCCGCATGCGATAGTGGGTTTTGGGCTGCGAGTAATCTGCAAGTAAAAAAAGTTATTAATAGAACCATCATTTGTCCTATGCAATGTTCATAACATATTAAAAAACTCAAATTATAAAACAAGAAGTTAGAGCTTTATATGTTAGTGAGACAAAAGTTTTCATGAAACATAAATGCTATTATTTCTTAATGTGTAAAAAACAATTATAGATGGTAGAAGATCTTCAAACCTTTCAGCAGCAGATCCATGCCGCTCCCCTTTGACATCTTTCTTGAAAGCATAAGACACAGATATAGGTCTGTTGCACAAGTACTGATTGTTCATGGCTTCTATAGCTGCATCTGATGCTTCAAATGATGCAAAGTTTATGAACGCAAAGGCTTTAGAGTTGCCCGTTTCTGGATCTCTCATTACCTGAAAATATATGAATTATTAACATTTAAAAACTAAGAAAACTATTACATTGTGATCCTATTTCTTGCTTAGATTGTGTATTTTTATAAGGATATTCGAAATTCATGTAATTTAAAAATACTAGGGCCTGTCCCACCATATTGTAAATTGTCTGATAACAACATGTAAAACATGCGATAGAAATATTGGATATTGTTACCTTATCTGACAGTAACTTAAGTTTTAAGCTATCTAAGCCTCTATCAGCCAGTGGTGGGACAGGCCCTTAATGTATTAACAATACTAGCTGTTGCTCGCGACTTCGCCCGCGTGAAATTAAAAAATATAGCCTATGTTACTCACAGATAAATTACCTTTCTAACGATGAAAGAATTTTTAAAATTGGCCCAATAGTTTTTGAGTTATTTCAATACATACAAAAATACAAATCTATCCTCTTTACAATAATAGTATAGATTACTAAAGCCCGCTACACACTTAAAATTTATCTAAATGAACAGTCTGTTCAAATAACATTGAATGTTTAAGTGTGCTTAATTTTTTGTAAAAGTAGCAGCCACAGTCAAAGTCACATAAATATGATTTTTACAAAGTATCAAAAGCCAACATAAAGACAAAGAACTAACAAGAAGCAATACATATGAATTTTAAAATGTACAAAATAATACCTTTGGTGTTTGCAATATCACACCAAACGCTGAGAATGTGTCATAAAGCAATTTCTCATCTACTTCCGGGTCTAAGTTTCCGATGAACACATTAGCTCCTACATCAAGGTTCTTCTGATGTGCTGAAGCTTTATTGACTCTGACCGGCTTGCCATATAGTTTTATCATATTCATCACCTGTAAAAAAAAATGTGCTAAAAGAAGGAAACTGACTTACATTTCAATGTTTTAATTCCATTGTCAAGTTATAAAGGATATATTATGTGGTATTTCTTCCAAAGATAAATACATTATTATGAAGTGAATGGCATAAGTAAAATTATACTTTCCAACTTAAAGCTTTAAGTGCAAAAAATAAAATAAACCAACTATCTATGCTAATAATTTAACAAAGAAATAGGCTCCAAAACTATTGTACCAATTAAAAAAAAGCATTAGAACTCAATACCATTGAGTATTTTACATTAAATAAAAGTATATGACAGAAGATATGAGACATACATTTACCACATACAAAATATCAGATAGATTGTTAGTTAAAAATAAATTAATATTGATACCTTGATGGCATAATCTGCATCTTCCTCTCCCATAAATTCCACAAATCCATATCCTTGATGTGTCTGTGAGACACGGTCTTTGGGCATATGCACATTCACTTGAAACCAAAGAATAAACAGTGTTCAGTTGTACTATTAAATACCTACACATTGGTTGAATTTTTACTCACAAAAGAGTTTGTATTATAAAACTATGAACATAAGAATGATATCCCTTTGTATAGATTATTTTATAAATGCTGTCTATTAAATCTAATATATACTCACCCACAGGTCCCGATTGCACAAAAAGTTCCCAGAGGAGACTCTCCGAGACTCTATCATCAAGACCACCAACATATATTGTTGCATCTGAAATTTAGAAAACATATATGCACATTATTGGTTTTTTAAAGTTGATTTACATATAGATTTTTAAAAGAGCAAGATGCTTACATTTACATATAAATATATACGAAGAGATAGAAAGAGAGCTAGTTTAGTCATAGATTGTATGGACACTGGTGCCAGTTAGCGTTGACACTATGCCAGTTAATTCACAGTCCAGTTATTGAATACTATACTACAACGACTAAGTGAAGCACGAATTAATATCGTAATAATTTTATTCGTCTACGTAGAATGTTTGTACTACTTAGTTTAACTCCCCGAGGATAACCTCAAACGATAAAATTGGTAATTATAAAGCCTATGAAAATATACCTTGATTCCGTTCGGCAATAGGACCTGCTGCCATGTTGTTAGAATTACTAAACTTGAACACTTATCTTGTATGAAAATAACATTCCTAAAACGACCTAAATAGTATTCGTATTTCTAAAACCGAAATAAACAATACAAGATTTTTGGCGTCTTCACCGCTGTGCACGCCAATTTGACAGCATACGTCATGCGAATATCATGACAAAGAGTATTCTTCTTTTCTCTATGGTAATGCCTCATTCTGTAAATACCTAAGTCTTTAATTTTGTGTAAATGTATGAGGCTTACACGGTTTTTAGCTATTTTATTATCATAATTGAGTAGTCAAATTAATTTATTGTCGCTTTTCACCACAGATTTCATGTCAAATAAATAATGTCATCTTTGCCAAAAGGTTTTGATCGACTTTTGAGTCTATGATCAGTCAGTCATTGTTATCAATTTGTCAAAGAAAGACGAAGCGACTTGCGAAATAACGTCGTTTAAAATTTCTTGAAACGCTAACGCTGTTGAGTTTAATATATTTGTGCTGCAGGTCAAAAAATATTGCAGTATAATCGTTAGATTTTATAATATAAAAATGGAGAGCGCGTCCGATATAATATCTTCGCTATTGTGGTTTAAAGACGATGATTGTAAAGACGAAGAAAATAATGGACAAATAATAGAACAATTTGTTCAAAACGTTGAGGATTTTAGTTCCCAGTATGGAAGTGAAATTAGTGTTTCCTACACTGCTTTCAATCTTCGTGGACCACCATCGAACTTTCCTGACTACGGAGATTATCCGCAAGCGTTTGTTATGGTAAACAACTATTTTATCGTAAATTTTATTTATTTAGATAAAAAATAATCTCACAGTTATATTGCCAATAAGAAAAAAATTATAATCGTATACACACTTGGCATGTGCTTGATTTTACAACAATAATTTCCCATTTTTTTAGATATCATGTTAATATGATTAACTAAATGAAAAAAGGGGATATCAAGTATCTTTTAAAGAGATTAGTTCGAATCGTGGTCAAGCACTGGTTAATTTATGATATAAAAGTGTAACTCTTTACTGTAGGGTTTTATATGTTTATTTTGAATGACTATATGTTTAACAGAGAACCTATGGGAAATGGTGGGATGAAGCACCATCGGTACAGGAGGAGTACATGCCGCAGAATAGCCGTGCAATTCCCAGTCAAGATTATGTTGGTTAGTTCTTTTTTGCTACTATTTTTAATAAAAATGGATGGATGTTTGTAACTATGTAAGACATTGTAACAAATCTCGATTAAATTTGGCACACACGTCCCATAAAAATAATTTAATTTGCGTGTTAAATAGTTATGGTTAAAAACCTTTACATTTCTAAGCTACTAGCTGTTCCCTTGCAGCTTCATCGGCATGAAATTATAAAAACTGTTTTATTGTTTACATTTGTCAAATTCTTAATTGTAAATTTCAAAATTACCATTACCATAGCCTAGCTTCTTTAATGTTGGCGTGTAGTTTATAATCCCTTTCCCACATGATAGTTTTTTCCAATTTATTTACTCCCCGAGTTTGATAATTTCATGCGGATGAAGCCACGAGAAAAAAGTTATAAAAATGTGTCACGAAAGTTTAAATCATTTAACTTCCATGCTTTAGATTGTTTATCATCATCAGCTCACTATATGTCCCCATCGAGGGGCTCGGAGCCAACCCTAAGTTAGGGTGACTAGGCCATAGTCAACCACGCTGGCCCAGTGCGGGTTGGTTGACTTCACACATATCTTTGAATTTCTTTGCCAATATATTAAGATTGTTACCAGATTATTATTATTGTTTTTTAAGATCTTATTTATAATACTTTTCAATGTCATGATGCCATTTAATTCCATTATAGTCTTATCAGTTAATGATGTAAATGTCAGGTTTAACCATTCATAATTTTCCTTAGGAATTTTAATTTAAAGTGTTCAAAGAAAGTAATAAATCATAATTGCGTTGCTATGTTCCACGCATTTTCAGAATTAGAATCAACTGTGTATTTACAATGATGATATATACTTGTTTTTATAATTTTTGACCAACTTCCCAAAAGAAGAAGGTACTCAATTTGTATGTTTTTTATTTTTTGTGTGTTATGGCATAATTATGTTACTTTTTACACTCATGACTTATCTAACTAAAGTAATGTGAGCATTTACAATAAGGTATTTCATAATATAGTTAAGATTAAATAAAGATGGCTAGGTAGAGGAAGACCAAAAGAGATGGATTGTGTGAAAGAGGATAAGCTTAAGAAAGTGAATTCAGATTTAACAGCTGATAAAGTATCAAAGAGTAGTTAACACTATGAAGTCCCTTCAAATAACCAAGCAAATGTTGATGTTTCGTAACAAGTATATAATACAAACCACATTCAGTAACTATTTTTGTTGTGTACACAAATATCATGATTCTTCAATGAACAATATTTATTTTTAACTTGTATCCGGTTCTATGAATCACATATAAATGTAACTATTACAGTTTGTATTGTTTTTGTAGGACATTTGATTGATAAGGAATAATTGTTCCAAAATGTTGCATTAAAGTTGCAAAATTCATAGGATTTTTCCTAGAAGGTGTCTTACGTTGATTTAATATTTTCATCATCTTCCTCCTTATCCTACCCAAGAAGGGATAGTGCGACAGGTTTTTGTTCTCCACATAACTCTATCACGTCATCTCAGTCATCTCTCCCTTTGTGATCATATCACCTTTCACGCAATTCATCCATCTCTTTCTAGGTCTACCTCTACTGGTGTACCCTTCTGCACTCATAACTGACGTTCTCCTCGTTACATATGATTCATACCTCCTAGTATTTTATCTTAAAAATATTAGATCAGTATTTACAGTATCTTACTAGTCTCTGATCAATATCTTGTTATAATTTCTTATACTCAATTACTGATATAAAAGCGTAAATTTGGATTCCACAGATATTTGTTACTAGCTGTTGCTTGCGACTTCGTCTGAGTGAAATTGTGTGGCACTACAGGTCAGCAGACTGGGATAGGATGCGGTCTTTCTTTGCATCCTACCCATGGGGGCAAGTTTGCTTCAAGCTGGATGATC